ATTGGCGATTTTCAAATGTCAATCCGGGCTGGTCAACGGTGGTTCGAAAGCTGCCAGACCTTCCGAGAAAAGAGCTTCGATGTAGTCGTGGATAAAGGGACCATGGATGCCTTGTTCTGTGCAGGCGGGGGATGTTTGGGTTGTTTGGGTAGGAGAAACTCACCCATTGGCTCCTAGAGGAAATATAAGGTTAAATACAGCCAAAGTCCCTGTAGTGATCAATCGTCAAGAAATGAGGAGGCATATAACCAATGGGGTTGCCCAAGGTGTCAATGACCATGAAGCGATTTGCGCGTGTAGAAATACAATGGGTACCCAATGAAGTTACCACTTGGGATCACTTGGGACCTGGATCACGTGCCGATCACGTGAGCCTGTTGGGGGTGGCTTTGCTAGAGCCGCATCCCTGTGATAAATGGGATAATCCCGCTTGTGGATTGTTATGGGACACTTATGGATAGCTAATGGGACTTCAAAACCAGGTGAATTACTTTCTGAGTGGATCTAAAAGTGTGCTGCACAAGGTAGGTGATTTGGGTGTGATTCGAGGGTCTTAAATGAATGAGGCTTGTCTAATCCCTTCACAAGACATATCTCCAGCAATTTCTGTTTGTTTTCAATCCATTTGGCTATGGATCAATACCTATACATACCATTTTTAGGGGGTTATTCACATCCATAAATCCCAGCTATTTTGATGTGAACTACAGGGGGATAGGGTTTTGACCCATCCCCATTTGAGAAATTTCATAGATCCAACACATTGCGCCGGAACCCGGGGGAGTCTCCTCTTCCCACTAAGTCACGAAAAACCCCCCATTTTCCCAAGAAGCATAGTTGGAAATCAAACATAGCAATGATTTTTTGATGTTTATGTCAAGCATAGCAAATCAAACAAAATGCATGTTCTAAGCCCCATTAATGTTTATGTCACTGATTTTCCCAGCGAACTAAAGCTCCTAGCGGTCCTAGCGGCTAGTTCTCGGATTTCCCAGCTTGCAATGCTTGATGACCAGAGGGTAAATGAGATTTTCGTGCTACATGTTGCGTTTACCCTCTGGTAATTTAACATAGCTATTGAAAATGACCATTTATAGTGGATTTTCCCATTAAAAATGTTGATTTTCCATAGTTATGTTAGTTTACCAGAGGGTACCGGGTACCCAATCTTTTTTCGTGGATCTTCAGCCCTAAAAAAGAAGACGATTCGCCAAATGGTTCCTGATTTTTTAGTTTGATTGCAACGTGGATGTTTATGAAATGATGGTAAAGCTGCATGGTGAACATTGGTATATAAATTATCATAAACTCATGATGACTCATGGTAGGTAATTCCATCCCCCCCCATTGATATTAAACAACGCCATTCTATGGTCCCAAATGTGTGTTTTTCATCCCCTACCAAAGGATGGTTTCTGATACATAAGGGATTAAACTGAAACTCAATAATTGTATTAGATCAGGTTACTGTAGTGCTTATTGAATTAATATGAATTAATACTCATTAATTGCTAGTAATACTCAGTATTGTTTATTTTGCTTTTGATCCAAGAGACAGCTCAAATTAAGCCACGAGACCGCTAGCCTGTGTAAGGCTTCTTATTCATTAGTATCTAATAGTAGTAGATCATCCTTTTGTCATCTAATCGTAGTTGATCTAATGGTTATTTTCTATCCAATAGTAGTAGGTCAAATGGTATTTATTCCTTATCTAATGGTATTTCTTCCTATCTATTGCTAGCATCATTACTTTACTGGTACTGTGTTGTCTATTTAGATTCATCATTGTTGCTCTAGTACTACTCAATATTGTGACTATCTACGCGTATCTATATGGCAGTGCGTCAAAACCTTGTACTCCTGGTGAACATCAAAATAGCTGGTAAATGGATGTTCATTCCCCTAAAAATGGTATTAATAGGTATTGATCCATCCCCACATCATCTAATTGCATCTTTTTTGGTCTGATTCTGATGATGCGTCCCAAAAATACTGACCCAAGGTTCCCACTTGTCTATCTAATCTTTCGGTATGGGTCAATGACTGACCCCGTAATATCAATGGATGGTTAATATGAAAAATAAACCACAATCAGTGGTAGTGGACCCCGTAATATATATCTTGAAATTTCACCTATCACCATCACTGTACTGAGTTACCTATGTAGGTCATGTGATCTGCGTAAATTATAACAAACTCATTGTTCTCCCAAAGCCTGGAATCTGGAATGATGGTTAGTGTGGTGAACTCTTCCAAACATCAACTAACCCATCATCTCAGGTCAGTGACTATACCCAGATGGGTATGGGTCAAAAAATATAAAACTAGATGGTTAATACTAAACTTACTAAACTATCCACTACAATCTGCGGTTTTCTGGCTGAAAATGTCGGTTTCCATAGCCTGGAATAGCTTTCCACAATGGTAGATCCTAAAATGGAGGGTTAGTATATAGGCTATATTTTGTGGGGATATTCCCTTACATAGGCCTTACATAGGCCTTATATATGGTAGGTACCTCCAATTTAGGTTCCTGAAAATTCCATAGCTTTCCATAGCCATACCATGCGCCACCTGATGGCCCCATGGCTCCCCTGGAGGTCCCAGCTCGGTGCAGCGCTTCACGGCGGAACTGCGCCGTGTGCTGCGGCCCGGTGGCATGGTGCTGCTGATGTCGGGCGTGGCCACTGGTGAGGCCAGGCTGCCGATGTGGAAATGGAAACAGGTTGCTCCAAAGATTGGGAGCTTATTATACATGATATATATATATATACACGTATATATAATTATATATATATATATAATTTTATCTAATTATATATAACTATATAATTATATATACATATATATATATATATTTATAATTATATATGATATATGTACGATTGGGTGTATACATATATATATATATATATCTGTCAAGATAGGATTGTTAGGCCTCCGCCCCAACAATCTGTAAAGCGGGAAAATGGGATGTAAAAAATATTTCTTATTTGGCCAGTTTATCCACGAAACTGTGTCTGGGGTGTTGGGAGCAACCCTGCTTCATATGGGAAATTCCCGGTGTTTCTTTCCAGGATAATGATGAGAAACGACCATGATCAATGGGGCTTTTGCGGAGCTTTACTGGTTTGTTTATTCATAAAGGGTTCCCCCATTCAACAACCAACAGGTAGATGATCATATATAATGTACCAAACTGGCCGGGTCTGGCTTCATCTATTTTCTCAAAAAGGCAGTCTTGATGAGTGGATGAGTTTGTTGTGGGGATCTCATGGACATTTAAGCATCAACATTGGGGTTTTTATTAAGCATCAACATTGGGATTTTTATTGGGGATATTATGGCATAAGGATCCTTGGACCTGGGAAAATGGGGAAATTCGATTCAGAGCTTTCACCAACTTAAGCATCGTTGTGACCTTGCGCCTTTGGACGTGAGGAGATCCTGGAGATCTTCCGGAACTGGACCACGGTGCTGGATGGCTCGCCATATATTACCGAGGAGGGTGAGGTGAAGTCTGGCGAAGGGATGGGCGGATGAACGCTAGCGGATGGGGATGGGGATGTTTGGTTGAAAACTCTTAAAATCTACCCTCTGGTAAACTAACATAGCTATCATTAAAAATGGTGATTTTCTATAGCTATGTTAGATTACCAGAGGGTACTAATTATGGTTCATGGATTAGTTCTACTGACTAGTTGATGTTGATGTTGTTGGTTATACTGCTGCTATATACTGCTTTATACTGGTCAATCGAAAGTGTTGAGAGCGAGGGTTGCTTTGATCGTTGTACTCTGCTAATTACTGTTCTATACTAGGACAAATTTGACTCGGATGTCTCAATCTTGAAAACGTATATGCAATATCATATAGCTAGATAGTATTGTTTGAACATGTTTGAACCGTGCGAGAGCCCTAAACCCCATTCTGACCCCATTTAGCTCTGCCTACGGAGCCAAACTTTGATGGTCAGGCAAGCATCAATCTTCGTTCACGGCTCTTTGTTTTCCTTCGACCACGAGATGACGACGATACAGGGTAGCCGAAGGGACACGGATGTAGACTGCCAAAGGGGCAAAGAACTCCAGGCAGACAGCGATGGAAAACAAAAAAACACATCAGACATTTCCTGTAGCGTTGGTGGCTTAAACTTCCACATATTTTTCAGTTGAAGGAGTTCAAGGTTCAAGACAAGTGTCCAAAATGTAGCATCAGTAGTGTATCCTTGGGCTATGATTGACGAATCATACTGCCTGTTTATGCTTAATGATAAATCCGCATGGCTCCTTCTAGCCCATCATTCTCATGATTTGATGTTATCATTATCGTTTTTTTTTAATGCAATTTTGTTGATCTCCGTGTCTTGGGTAAAAAAAAACGTCATATGGGTTTGGACCTGAAAATGGAGCTGTCGGATTGCTAGAAAAAAATGTATGGGTTCATTGGTGCGCCAATTTTGACTAAAACCGATATTTCTAAAAGTCCTAATCTCCTGAATACATCTGAATACTGAATACTCTCCAAGAAACCTTGATTGTGTTATTCATGAATGACCCCAACAAATTCCAAGAATTGGTTGTTGGGGGGTATGCATCCAATGATCCGGGGAATAGATTATCCAAACATATAAATCCAATCACTTTCCAGAGTTGATCACCCGTGAATATTAGTGCATCGTACTGCATAGTATTGTCATGTATCTTCATTCTTTGCGGTGTCGCCCCCCAATGTGTTTGTTGGACAGACGGGGTCACAAGATGTTGCCGCCCAGCTATGTGTTACTGTGTTTTGAGCCATGAACTCGTTCTACCATAGACCCAATTGTTAGCCTACTTATAATTCAACTTAGCTAAGCAAAAATCTTAACTTAAATCCCATAGAAAACCCATTAAATCACCGTGAGCACATATTAAATCCATTTAAATCCCATAAAATCCCACTAAATCACCATTTTTGGACTACGAACCCTCAGTTTTTTTTTCTGGATACTTCTCCAGGCGACAGAGGCACCCAGCATCGGAGCCATAGGGTGGCCGAGGAGTTGTGAGAGGTTGGGATGCTGGGGAGGTAAGTCATGCTGGCCCATCAAACCCCAGATGCGAACCATGGTGCTGGAATATTTAGCTACAAATCTGGGTCATTTTGGGGTTTTTTATGTAGGTACATCTTCCAGCACCATGGAGTATCGGGGAACAGAAATCCATGTGTGATTCTGGGTGCCATCGTTAAACTGCCAGCTGGCAATTTTATGCAAATGTGTCATACCCAACCCGTTCAGAACATATGATTTCTTTGGTAGAATCCACCTGATGCAAAGACGTGTTCATCAAACATCATCCATGGAATGGCCCTCTGTCACTAAAGCGGACCCATGTCGACCTGTCTCAGGCTGTCTCTATATCCTGGTGACTGTACCACTGCTGAATAGCAATGATATAGCATGATTCCTTGCATGATTACGCTTTACAATGTTCCTGATTCTTTTTGATGGGAGAACTTACAGGAACATGTCTACAGCATGGACGGTGAACACCTATACGTTTTTACGTATTTCCTGTTGATTTGTCTGTTCATTGGTCGAATTCCATGTGTGAATATGTGTTCAATGCTATCCTCCATTTAGATAAAATAGTCTTAAAATGTCTTACACAATGCTGAACATGGCTCCATTGTCATGCTAATTTACTTGGGGAAAACCAACCGATGACCGACTGCCCATCCAGGTCACAGTGACCAGCGCCTGAGAAAAAGTCGCCCATGAAGCGAAAGTGGTACTCATATGCTGTGGGTCAAAATGGAAGACCTAGGGGACCACAGATGTTAGTCCAGTTTAGTATTAACCATGCAATAATTGAGGTACCTAATTTTGACCCATACTCATATATTCCCAGAAGCGAACCATTGTGCTGGAATATTTACCTACAAAACTGAGTCATTTTGGGGTTTTTTATGTAGGTAAATATTCCATACATGCCATACATGGAGCATCTGGGATTGACAGTGACGGACATTCAGACCCCCAGATATGGAACTTGAGTGACAAATGAGGGATTTTTGCTGTGAATTTTAAGCAAAGCCAGATGGACACATCAGCAACAGAGTTTATGCTGAAAGGACCAGTTGAAATGATCTGGAAAGGCCGACTGTCTTTTGCAGACAATTCTCCTAAATTCAGCATATGGAGGAGAAAACTCCTTCCATGATTGGGTAAAAACAAGAAATTGGATTGGGTTCATGCGGTGATTCATTGCTTCTTGTTGGGAGAAGTTCAATTTCAAGGCAACTGCTGGGGGTGGACCGTATGAACCTAAGCGAACAAGCCAGCTATGCTGCTTTGATGTCAACCTGGATCTTCAAACACTCAAAAAAACTGAAAAACAACTGTTTGTTTAGGTTGTTTCCTATTTTTTGCAGGGTAACTCAAAAGTGCTTCACGTGTTTTTACGCCTTACGACCACTGCGAGTGAGTTTAAACAAGATATATATATACTGTATATATATATATACTGTATATATATACTGTATATATATATATATGTCGTATTCATTCGTTATCCCCACTCGCCGTAAGCATCAGAGACAAATCAAAAACACTGCAACCGGACTCAAAACGATGAGACAGATCCAGATCCAAAAATGTGTCTGTTTGCAGCCTGGTGATTATCTTGCAAAACCGTTGATGTTTAGACACGGATTCTCAACTCCTGATGAAAGCAGTTTTCCTTCTGTTTAGGCACAGTTCCCTCTACCTGAGATAAAGTAAACTTACCTCGGCATCTGGTGTCTAGCCCTGTTATCTCTTCAAACGCTCAAATCGCTCGGCTTCGATCAACACGCACAAAAGAACTAGGGCAAACCCAAATGCTTAGAATAAAACAGGAGGGTGCAGCTTCAGGAATGGACTACTGTTTGATGTCACAGGACATCTGAAGTCTAAAGTGGAGTTCCTTTCTGCAAAACAAGATGATACATCTTGGGTACCGGGAGACTGGCAGTGTCAGTTGCTACAACATTCTTGAAGACGTGCTTCATTGAAGTCAAAGATTAGAAGCATGTCATGGGGGGCTTCTTTTTTCAAGGGGGTTCCTCAAAATTCAAAACCATCATTTATTACTATTTATTATGTGTGTATCATTTTAGGATACCCCCCCCATTTAATTTACGGATTTTTTCCATGTGGACTTTCCAAAATTCGCCTTTTCAGGGACGCTTTTTGCCGCAAGATCAGCATGGTTCATGAGAGGTCAACAGTGGAGAATCCCGAAATTGGGCTACCTCTAAATCCATCTAAATCCATTGATTTTGGGCGTTAACACATAGTTATCAAATGATTTATGATCAACATTAGTAACAAGATGTGATGTTTACCAGTTTACCACATCAAATATTGATTACACACCCATTCGAATTACCATACCTTCTGGGCGATTTTCCCTTTTCAGTCCCCATCTGAGACACAGCCGACCTGAAAGCTTGACGAAGAAAGATAATCGGGATGGTCATGCCCTGGTTTTGCAATATTTTGCCATGGTCTTAAGATGATTCCAAATGGTGTCCAGCTATATAAGCAGGGTATAGCTTACATCATATTTTCCAAAGATGACTATAGCTCTGCAAAATGACGTTCATATTAATCATATTGGGTTTTTGGATGAAACCATCAGCTACAGTCACCAATAAACAAACACAGAAACAGCAGCACAAGCTCTGCAAAAGACCTGAAGATGGGTGGCAAAGTGTCTGGGGACCCTGGTGGAAAGGAAGACAACTTGATGATTTTCAGAATGTACCATTGTTGGTGCAGTAGGTGTTCCCTCCAGTTTTGGTAGTGTTGGTTTATAAGCCCCATTAACATTCACTAACTATATAGTTCTACCATAAACCATGGTTAAACTGGTGATAAGAACCAACTAAGCTATCGTTTGAATGCCCCAGGGAGAGGTCACTTGCAATTTTTCGGCACTGTTGGGAAATCATCAGCAACACATTGGGCAATTCAGTTTTTTTTGCCGTCCAATTTGGGGATGTAGGCGGCAGTCATGGGCATACTAAGTGACTAAGTGAAATAGCAAGGAAAGATCTGGCACTCCCAAGACATACACCAAAGCCAAAGCATATCTCCGGACGGTATTTTGGAAGTCTATTCTATGCAAACAGCCGCCAGTTGGGAGTTTTTATTCTTGAGCATGAATTGGGTTTGTTTGGAAATAGGATACAGTAGAACAGTTGGATACGAATTGCATCAGATTCTTGGCTTACAGTGCGTGTTTTTATGCACTGTTGCGGTGTACTTGGCCGAAATTCCGGAAGCACGGGTAGGTTCTTCTTCCGGTTCTGAAAAACAGTGGTCCTGGTTGATCCATGTTGATCCTATTTTTCCCCATGAAAATTGCCATCTTATGCCTCATGTCTTGACGAGCGTTACATTTTTCCATGATATTCCCGGTATATCATATTGTATTCCCAATCCATCCCCAATATGGTGTTGTTTAACATGCTGTCTAACCAACTTAATTACAGTGTATATATATATGTATATATACACATACAATTATTATTATTACTATTATTATTGTTATTATATATATACACGATACTTGAGTCGTAGCGATTTGCTCGTTCCTAAGTCAAATAATGGGAAACAGTGCATCAGGAGGGTCGGTGCGCAATTCTGGGTGTGCCGTGGTGTTTCGCCATGTTTTGGACATGGGTTCTTCCGTTGTGTCTTGGTAGTCTGGGACATGTATATGTGGCTTGTAATGATGAATTCTTCCAACAGCTAATTAACGTGCCGTGTTTGTTTCTCTTCTTCTGTATTTTGAGCATTGAACAATTAAATACAATCCCATAGGATCCATGTATGGTATATATGCTAACATTGGGGGTATATTGATGGTAAATGTTACCATATATAGCTTACATGGATCCTATGGGAATTAAAATGAGACTTTAGATGTGTGGTGAGTCTTAAAACTCGCTCCCCCCGGATCCCAGGTTTTATCATACCTTCCACCTCTGAGCTATCCATGGTGAATTTTCGGCATGGGCAGGTCACCGGAATGCATGGATTTTTCCTCCTCTTTGTGGGATCATGAATCGACCAACCAGATCCAACCGTTGTATATTGCTGTGTATGATTGATGATTCTGTATGTATTAATTTATACACACCAATATACAACGCTTGGATATGAATTCTGTATGATTGATGATTAATCTACCTTAATTATACACAGCCTGGCACTGATCTATAAATTACTTTACTTCGTGTGATCCCCACCATGACATTTATACATGTTCTTACTGGCACATCTTCTGGCATTCTATCTGACATATCTTCTGACATTCTATTTGGCATTCTATCTGGCATATCTTCTGGCATTCTATTTGGCATTCTATCTGGCATATCTTCTGGCATATATTCTGACATATCTTCTGGCATTCTATCTGGCATATCTTCTGGCATATCTTCTGGCATTCTATCTGACATATCTTCTGACATTCTATTTGGCATTCCATCTGACATATCTTCTGACATTCTATTTGGCATTCTATCTGGCATATCTTCTGGCATTCTATCTGACATATCTTCTGATATTCTATTTGGCATTCTATCTGGCATATCTTCTGGCATATCTTCTGGCATTCTATCTGACATATCTTCTGATATTCTATTTGGCATTCTATCTGGCATATCTTCTGGCATATCTTCTGGCATTCTATCTGACATATCTTCTGACATTCTATTTGGCATTCTATCTGACATATCTTCTGACATTCTATTTGGCATTCTATCTGGCATATCTTCTGGGCATTCTATCTGACATATCTTCTGACATTCTATTTGGCATTCTATCTGGCATATCTTCTGGCATATCTTCTGGCATTCTATCTGGCATATATCTGGATATTTTCTGGCATTCGCTGGCAAATTTCTGGCACTCTATCTGCCATTTTATCTTCTACATGAGGGAAGGCAGGGAACACGGGGATGGTCGTGGTTGAGGTCCGGCAGGGAACACTGGGCGTGGATGGTCGTGGTTGAGGTCCGGCAGGGAACACTGGGCGTGGATGGTCGTGGTTGAGGTCCGGCAGGGAACACTGGGCGTGGATGGTCGTGGTTGAGGTCCGGCAGGGAACACTGGGCGTGGGTGGTCGTGGTTGAGGTCCGGCAGAGAACACTGTGGATCGCGGGTCGCAGTTGAGCAAGGACGACGAGGACGACGAGGACGACGAGGACGACGAGGACGACGAGGACGACAAGGACGACAAGGATGACAAGGAGGACGAGGAGGACGAGGAGGAGAGGAGGAGGAGGAGAGGAGGACGAGGCAGGAGGAGGAGGAGGCAACTGACATAAAATCTAACAACCCTCACCTGGCAGGTGGGGAAAAACACGGAAAAACATGGGGGACCCATCGGCCCATCGGCCCATTCCCCCATGTTGCGCCAAGGTCGAATTTGCAGTCCACGTGCGGCCCATCTGCATGCTGCGTCCCGCCAGATCAGGACGACCGTCGGATGGTGGGGCCGGCTGCATCTGACGTTCGGAGACTCCGCGAATCAAACATGGGATACAACGGTTGGTGGTGACTGGAACATGACTGGATTATGATTTTCCAAATATGTTGGGAATGTCATATATAATCGCAACTGACGAACTCCATCATTTCAAAGGGGTTGGTACACCACCAACCAGGATATAAAATTGGAATATAATGAACATATATCAGATATATGGCTCAAGTACCAAGAAAAATATTTCTAAACCT